GTTCAGGCTGCGAACCTCCTGCGTGCTGCATGTGTGCGGTTCATTCACAGCTTTGGATCGGCCCACCACACCAGGTAGAGATGAGAGGCCACGTGGTCATCAACACTGAGCAGTGCGTAGGTTCCCGTGCGACAGAGAAACTAACTTTTACTTAGTTTAGTACAGGGAGTCGTATACGGTATAGACTACCTGGTTTAGTACGCACCACGTGCGCAGCCAAAGAACCAGGATCAGAAAAACCAGACAGCATGTCACATCATTCGTAGACACGCTTTGTCGTACATGATCATCATGCGGTGTGTACATGTGTTGTACTTGTAGTCATCTATCATAGCCTTTTTTGTAGAGCTGAGGCTTGGAGGTCAAGGCCCTCAATTAAAAGATCAAGATCAAGGGTGCAGCTGGGTTGCACGAAGTTTTCTATCCTTTGATTTTTAGCAAATAAAAGGCCAAACCGTGCGATACTGTCAGCTTTTTTGATGATTTGTTATGATCAATGTAATTGTTGAGCAATTGACCAGAGTTGACTTGCACTCGTACCAGTATGGGTGATATCAAGCCATGAAAGACGCAAGTGCACTGTACCTTGTACTTTAGAAGTCGTTGAAACGACATTACGTTGACATCTTTTTTCAGTGAAAACAGGCAAAAAGTGCTCTTTTTTCAGTGAAGCACAGCCATGATACATGTTCAGATATGGACCCAACACGCCAACACCCAAGCAGGGAGTCGTCAAATACCTGGTATTTGACGACTCCCTGGACCCAAGCTGAGAAATGAATACGCACTCTTCCATTTACGGGTCCACGAAAGGCAAAACAGGAAGTAAAGTTCAAAAACCCCACTTTTTCAAGACAGCATGGTGTACAAAGTACAAGCTTCACCAACTTGTTGCCCCCCAAAAAAGCGGCGTGCCAAGGCCCATCGAGCATGCTAGCACTCGGAAACTGTGATCGCATGCATGAGCAAACAGATTTTAGCACTTTTTCAGCTAAAAAAGCTTTTAAAAAAGGGCGATATTCACCAAAAAACACAATAAAGGGCGAAAGAAACGGGCTTTTCCAAAAAGGGCCAAAAAGGGCGAAAAACAAAAAAGGGCGAGCACCTTTGGGAAAGGGCTATATACCGAAAAGTTACTCCACAAAAGGAGCTAGACAGTCACCTTACGAATAATAATACCACCTCGATTGGGCATGAGAAAAGTGTTGTTCCTCGCGAGTTGTCTTTATTCGTGAGGTTTACAATGAATGCAGTTCATTCAGTTATTCGGTCGGAACATAGTGTCGGTATTCGCTAGTTGTCGTGCCTGATACTAGTATTAATGCATTCAGACTATGGCCAACTTTGACCACGTTTCTACGACTCAGACGTGTTTTATCAGCGATTGCACAAGTATCATTATTGAAACACGGCTGCATCACCATGATTCGAGTTCAGACGTGATCTTGGCCGTAGTCTGAATCGCAAGACTGCCAAGAGTCCATAGGCATAGTAGAGTAGTAAAGTTTCACATCCGCGTTACCACCGGCTTAGGATGGGGCTGAGAACCACAACCAGCTATTAAAGAGAAGTTTCGCTCGTGCCGGGCCACCACCGTGTCTGATTATCACGGTGGCAGATGCAGCGCTAGCCCCAGAAGCCATGTAAACGGCGAGGGTGAGGTGGTAAGTCTCACAAGCAGAAAAATACGGTATTTTACGACTCCCTGCTCACAAATAATTTCTGTTTGGTCTGCATTCCCGAAGATGGGCTCAGTCTAGTGGAGAGCGTTGTGACTTGTGTGAAGTTGTGAGGATGTCACAGTATGGTCACAGACTAGCACAGTGGAGTCCACAGACGGTGCACTCTACACGTATTGAGAAACATCATCATTCTGGAGATTGGGTAAATCTAGATATAGAATAATGCGGAACCGGTCCAGTTGGTCAAGCCATTGGGCGGACCAACGTTTTAGCCACTAATGTGTGTTTACTGCTGGGGACGAGGTCATGTGTATACTAGTACCCTGCATATCATTCACAACAGTAAAACCGGGTTTAAGCGACCACCTCACGGGGCAAGCAAAAGGAGTCGCTAAAGCCTGGTGGTCTTTTGAACCAGGTCTAGGTCCCACCTTGTCTGCGTAGGACTGTTCGTGCGCGTGCATGGAAAAGCGGTCGTTACAAGCCGGTGGTCGCTAAACCCAGGGGTCGCTTACACCAGGTTTTACTGTATGAAAGGCCCGGGCATGGCCGGCCAATCAAAAACTGCTTCCCGGGCATGGCCGGCCAATCAAAAACTGCTTCCCGGGTCCGCCGGCCCTGTAGATATGGAATAATGCAGATAAGAAGTCATAAGTAACAAGTTACTGAATCTGAATCTGAAGAAGGGCTGAGGCTTCCTGCAGCTTCATCTGTGAACGGAATTCGGGTGGACACACCCACTCCCATAGCGCTGCACATCCGAACCAGTTCCGTTAGAATATACAACGTTTCGGCACTTGGCCATCGTCAGGTAAGAAGACTGGGACAATGAAGTACAATGTAACTAAGGAGCAGGGAGTAGTAAAATTATGTTACCACTCACTGGTAAGGAGCACGGAGTGGTAAAATCATGTTACCACTCACTGGTGAGGAGCACGGAGTAGTGTAGTGTCATGTGACTAGATGCATGAAGCCCATGCATACATGCATTCCCATCATCATGATCCACTTACATGATCTAGCATTCCATTCCTCCTTCCCACTTTAGCCCGTATGTATATATCTAGTAGATTGCATGTGTTCTGGGGTCTTTGTCTTATCGTAGTACAACAGTTAGAACTAATGTCTTGGCTCTCTGGTTGGTCTGGTTAGACTAAAGTACGAAACACTACATGGTGGCAGCGGTCCAGAAGCCATGTCTTCTTCGGACCCCAGCTCGGTTCAGCCCGCTTCCCGCGGATCTTCCCCCGCCGGTGGCGGAGGCAGCAATGGTGGTTCAGGTAGCTCCTCCGGTGGAGCGCCTTCTACGTCTTCTTCGGCGCCCGCCCAGGTTTCTCTTCCGGGGATGGTTCACCTCTCACAGGTGTCCCCTCCATCATCGTTCAATTTCCAGGCTGCAGATCAGTGGGACCGCTGGCTGCGTCGTTTTAACCGCTATCGTCAGGCGTCTGGTCTTCACACCCAACCGGAGTCGGTCCAGGTGAACTCCCTCCTCTACACGATGGGCGAGCAAGCTGACGACCTACTGGACAGTTTCCATCTACCTGAGGATGACGTGAGTAAATTTACCACAGTCACTGAGCGTTTCACTGCCCACTTCGGCAAGAAGAGAAATTATGTGTACGAACGTGCATGTTTCCATCAGCGCACCCAACAGCCCACGGAGTCACTAGATGCATTCGTAAATGATCTCTACCGCTTGGCAGATAGGTGCAACTTCAAGGCCATGCACGATGAGATGCTCCGGGACCGGTTGATCGCAGGGTTAGCAGATGCACGTCTTTCTGAACGCCTGCAAATGGATTCGGATATGACGCTGGAGAAGGCGCTGGCTCACGCTCGCCAAAGCGCTGCCATCAAGGAGCAACAAACGACGGTACGTGCAGCAGCTGATCAGTCGTTGTTTGCTGTCCGCCAGGATCAGGGGCGGCTGCGTTCTAGTCGCGATCGTCCTCCGCTGCGTGATGCTCCCAGCTCCTCGCGCCACTCGACTCCGTCATCTGATTCTTGTCCTTGGTGCGGATACGAGTCACATCCCCGCGCACGATGTCCTGCAAGTCGTGTAACCTGCAAAGGGTGTGGCAAGACAGGCCACTTTCAACGAGTGTGCCGCTCTTCGCCACCATCTGGTTCCACCGGTTCTTCTGCACGACAGGGCACTCATCAGTCCCCGCGGGGCACAGGTGTCCATTCTCTCTCCAGCCACAGTGATTTCTCTAGCTCGGCAGTGAGTTCTGCTGACGCATTTCTGGGCACCCTCACCCATGGCACAGGCTGGAATCTCCCTATGCTTCTGCACGGCAAGGCCGTAACTATGAAGGTCGACACGGGTGCAGATGTCACTGCTATACCAGCTACAGTGTTCACGTCCCTGGACTTGCCTATCTCGCTGGCCCCATCGAACCGTACTCTCCGGGGCCCAGACAACACAAGCCTCAATGTTTGTGGCCGGTTTACAGCTGACCTGCGCACAGCTCACTCATCTCAGTCTCACTCCGTGCCCACCCAGGTGTACGTGGTCCGCGACCTCAAGCTTCCACTGCTCGGACGTCCAGCCATTGAGGCACTCGGCATCCTGCCTGCTCCTGCTAACGTCCTGGAGACCACCTCTACCTCTAGTGACTCAGCTTCAGACTCTCGCTCTCCTGTTGCCGCTGAGTTTCCTGACCTGTTCTCGGGCCTAGGTACCTTCGGTCCTCTCCACACCATTCAAATTCGCGATGAGGCTCCTCCATACTCGCTCTCCACTCCTCGGCGAGTTGCTCTGCCCATGGAATCGAAGGTTATTGAAGCCCTCCGTCGCATGGAAGCCGCTGGCGTCATTCGCCCAGTGTCCGAACCGACCGATTGGTGTGCCGGCATGGTCGTTGTGCCAAAACCAAACGGCAGCGTGCGCATCTGCGGTGACTTCACACGGCTCAACAAAGCCGTCAAGCGCGAACGGCACATTCTCCCTACCACGGACCATCTCCTCGCTCGCCTCGGTGATGCCAAGGTATTCTCCAAGCTGGACGCTAACAGCGGGTTTCACCAAATTCCGTTGGCGCCGGAGTCGCAGCTACTAACCACCTTCATCACGCCCATCGGCAGATTCTGCTACACGCGGCTCCCCTTTGGCATCTCCTCGGCACCCGAGTATTTTCAGAAACAGATGTCAGATCTGCTCAGCGACCTCCCTGGCAACATCTGCATGATGGACGACGTCCTCACATTCGGCTCCACCCTCGAGGAGGAGGTCGACAACCTTCGACCAGCTCTGGCCCGTCTTCAATCCGCCGGTGTCACGCTCAACAGCGAGAAGTGTCAATTTCATGCCAC